AATAAATAGGTTTCTCGTTACTACGAGAGCAGGTAAAGTTCCAGGAATATTTATTTTTATTTTTTGAAAAACCTACCAGCTCAAACACTATTCAAATTGTAATTGAGTATATCATGAATCAAAAATGGATGTGGCTAGAAACAATAAGAATAGGTAGGAATAGAGTGACATATTATGGTGGGAAAGGAGTAGGGGGTAAGGGGTGTAGTGGGAGAGTGGGTTAGGTGGGGTAAAGGGGTGGGCGTTACCTGGTGATTATAATAGAAAAATGAGACATTGCCACTTGTCACCCCCTCCCCCACCCCACCCCCTTTCCCTTTAGGATGAAATGACACTTCTCGCACAAGGTTAGTTTCCTCAGACCGTTTCTAAACACTTTACGACAGATGATCAGATAAAGCTTTAAAAGAGTCGTCAACAACTGAAAAATTATTCATAAAAATTTCTAACATATGCACTTCTAAATACTAAATAGTGACAGGTACATTACATAGATCAAAAGACATCTTCTTTGAATGCGAACATACTACAAGGACAAACCTCTAAACAGTGACAGGTACATTACATAGATCAAAAGACATCTTCTTGGATGCGAACATCCTACAAGGACAAGTAAACGTATTCATTTTCCTTATATTCAAGGAACTTGTTGTCATAAAAAAAATTATTTTTCAAAGTTTCTAATCAAGAAAATAGGAATAAACCAACACACACCTTATTAAGTTCCAAAATCTCACTAGTACTTCTGACCAGCTTTTAACTGTGAACTCGAGCATAGTTGAAATTGCGTATTTTTTTTTTTGGTTATTAGCCAAAATAAAGGCTCATCTTTAGCCACTTTGACAAAATATTCCATTGGTCGTTTCATTGCTATTATTGGATGGATTGGGCCTCAAGCTTCTTACTACATAATTGGGGCGTAACAGTAAAATTTTTGAGGGACTGAAGTTCGTGTATTGGTATTTTTTCGATCCAAACATATTTAGCAATAACATGCCTAAAAATATGGGTAACTCACATCTTTAGAACCCAATTACCCTTTAAAACACTAGTTTACCTAATTACACATTTTACCACTTTTCATGATTCAGATACATGCATATTTCAGGCATGCATCTCAGATACATGAAGAACTAATTATGTACAAAATGGAACCGAAAACCCCATTCCTAAGTCAACAAGGAGGAGCCAAGACAATTGAAAAGAGCAAGGCGACAGAACTCTCCAAGACTAACAATTATTATATGGATGCAGGGATCACCAGAAAAGGAGACATAACTACATCCTCCTCAGATTCCTAACAAGTCATGGATCACAATGAACGTGTGATCTGCACAAAAAATGCAGTAAATAATATCAGTAAGTATCATTATTCACCCACAACAAGATTCTAGTGATGCTCATCACCTATATATTATACACTACAGTACCTCATATGTATGCATAAAGCGATATCGAATTAGCCTTTAGCTTTTCATGCACTCATGCTTATGAGATAGGTTCATGTTGCATACACCATATTTGTTCTAATCGTTTTTCTTCCTGTCTGAGATTGGTAAAGTAAATTGTCCTGAACTACTTTACAAATATGTGTTGAGAAACAATGCATTGAATTTTCCATTGGTTCAGCTTATTGTGGCCATTGTCAAAATTTTGTACTTTGATTCATGTATTACAGGTCGCCAACGCTTCAAGAGCTTGCAAAAGTAACTAGTAAGAGTATCACCAAGAGTTTTGTTCAACTAACAAACAACCTGTTAAGGGTTCAGAAGAGTTTCTCAAGATGAGCTACTTTGTTTTACATGAATATTAAGGTAAGTGTTGATCCTTTTTGCTGTATTAAATAGAAAATGGTCCAAAAGTTGAGATAGTGACTTCATAAAAAATGTGAAATGTATACCATAGAGTGGATTGATTTGTTGTACTCGAGCCAAGAGTCTTCCCAAAACATCCTCCTTACCTCCACGCGGAGGGATAAAGTCTCGTACATTCTACTCTCCCAAACCCACTTCTCGGATTTCACTGTTGTATCCAAAAAGAATGGATAGCATGGTGATTCTTTTAGTTGTAGAATATTGAGAAAGCATTGAAGAGTGCAGGAGAAATGCCTTTTTTCTAACTTATAACCTTCCTATTATATTCTGTGCATCATTAAATGGTTATAGGTCTATATTTAATGTATAAGAAGTGTACAATTAATGTACAAGACATACATAAAAATTATATATAGATTATGTAATAATTATTCATCTATGTATAATGTTTACAAGTAACATACACACTAAATATATTCCTATATCTATTTAATAAATAAAAACTATTTAATTTAGCTCGTTTAAAGGAATATATATATAGCTAAGATTTATACCTATCCTTATTCCTACAAATCTGTGGATAAAATCAAAATAAAAATAAATAACATGTAGAAGTTGGTTATAATGGGTTACGATGGCTATCTTAAGTTTAAAAATTATATGGGTGGTCTCTTATAAAATGGTCATAAAACTAAAAACAAATTGTAATGAACTGGATCCCCGTTTTCCCCGCTAGAATACTACTTGGACGCAACTGTCATATTAACAAATTAACATTATCAACTGGAATACTATATCGTTGCAACTTTTTCCCTTGTGAAGATGTGTTCTTGTAGCTTTGAAGTGGCCCAAGGTAGTATGCAAAGAAGAAACATTCTAGATTAAGATTATGGATATAGGAGTTGGTGCTTGTAAGAACTAATGCTACACCTTTAATGGGTCATGAATGGAGCAAGATGTAACTTCCTAGTTAATGGAAAAAGAATTATGAAGCTCTCCAATAAACTGAGAGTTGAAAGTTATACTTAGTTCTCCTATAAAAAGGATGACTTTGAGGTTTACACTATTGCAGCATAGAAACTCAAACAGTACAACAATTTATTTTTCCCATGAATATAATAGTTCACAGTGAGTAAAGAAGGTCTAAATGGACAATTGTGGCCTCTTTAACTACTGGACTTCCTTTTGGCACCATAGTATTTCTCCTCCGTGACTTTGGGAATGACTAATTTTATTAGTACTTGTGCACAAAACATGGTTGATATGTATTCATCACATGTGCTATCATTATTGTTTTTTGGGTATAAGGTATCTATTAGACCCTCAACTTGATGGTTTGAGCAGTTCGGGCTTGGCTAGGAATTTACATGATGAACCTAGTCAACGCCCAATGACTTCAGTCAACGTTAAGTTTAATTAAAAGAAGACCTTGGCAGTGGCGTGGTTAAGGCATGCAAGGCAAGGCGTGGCTAAGACGTGACAAGTGCTGGAAAAAAGAAGGTATGTGAGGCAAGATGTGGTTAAGACATGACAAGAGCTGGGCAGGCTAAGGCAAGGCAAGCCGAGGATGTGACCGTGACAAAGTCGTGGCTAAACAAGTTGAAGGCTATGTGCTGGACAAGGGCAGTGGCTAAGGAGATTGCACCCCAATGGCAAGCCAGGCGAGGCAGGACTAGCGCACATGACTAGTACGTGAGCAGGCGTGAGATTGGGCGACTGAAGAGTGATTTTGACGTCAATGTTGAAGGCTGCTCGCATGTGCCTCGCACATGCGTGGGCAGTTTCTAGCCGTTGGAGCTTTGTCCGCATTTTAGATAAGGCTTGTAGTTTGAATTTAGCTTATCAACTGAATTCATGGGCATGTGACTAGGCATCGTAGCCTATTTAAAGGCACAGGAAGACCATTCTTGGGCACAAGATCTTTGGTCGAATTTTGTAGGCTAAACTACTTGTGTGCTTCTTTGTGGCGCGAGTTTGATACAAAGATGGGGCTTGTTCCTGTAAAGTGATTGTCTGTTCTACGTTCGTATGCTTGTCTAAAGTTAATCTAAAACGTGAAAGAAAAAGTAAAAAGGTCTCTTGAGTCTAAGTCTTTAGACTGTCTTAGTGGGTTAGATCGATTATAGTTGACCCCCTAACAGTATATATGGCTGAGGATACAAGATGGAACGTGTAAGCCAATCCTAGGAGCATCACAGACAAAATCCCTTTCATCGACCAAGTATTACCTCTGGAAGTAAAAAACTAATCCTAAGTAGAACATTGTAAGCAGCTACAAAACCTGTCCAGTCATGGATGATTAATGACTGCAGCTTCCATAATTGCCCATGCAGTAAAGCTAAAATTAAAATATCAATATAGAAGAGGCAATAAAACCAGTGTGCTGTTTGCATCATGACCTCTGCCGACATCAGGAAGTGGGGAAGGTGCTCAACTGCAGTAAACAACAAACAATTAAAGTTGACTGATTTCTCAATTCAATACAATGTCAAAGGCAAATTTGTGATTAAGCATGAGTGAAACTATAGTGTCAAATTATTCGAAGATGTTATGGAAACTTACATTGCCAATCGATAGAGCCCCAAACCATGCAGAATCGGTGCCATACGGGGGCGGAAGAACTCTGATGCCACTGGTCATGGATGGGGGAAGAAGTCCAAGGACTTCCTTCTCTAATCTCCCTGCAACAAATTTTAAAGCAAAAACAATTGTTTCATTGAAGAATGGAGCTTGATACCAATAAGTAATACTAGAGCCAAGGCGTGGCAAGTCTTAATCCTAACAAAATACGGACTTTTGAAACTTATGGTTATAAATACACTAGTATAACATTGGTCTGACATGAAATTGTTGACACTTGTTGTAACACCCCGCAAATTCTTAGCTAAGATTTGAACCTTTCTACGTATGCAGCTAGACCCAAACTCAGTGAAACTTTTACCTTGCCTAGGTGTAAAGACTAAGGCTTAATTGTGGGAACTGCCAAGGATGTGAATTAAGGTCATAGGGAACCTCCAGCACAATGTTGAGTTGAAAGCTTCTCTACCAATTGACTTTATGTAAAAGTTTTTACTAGGGTCAACTTCAAACGAGCATTCCTCCCAGGAGAGCCTTAAGTTTCATAAAGAAAAAGGAGGACCCAAGGTAGTATGTTGTTACATGAGACTCTGAGTTTATGAGTGCTCTGCATGCCTAGTTAGTACCCTTAAGCTGCTAAGCCGAGAGAAGGTTAAGTATGTATTATATGGCGTTCTTTGAAGCTGGTATTAAGGGAATTATAGATAGTTGATGTTGAGACTCTTAGTGTAGTTTTAATTCCCATAGGAATTGGGTGAATGTGAATTTAGAGGTGTTATGTTAGTAGAATAAGAAGAGAAGGTCAACTCATTAAGTGTCACAAGAAGTGGTTATGTACACCAATAAGTGTATAAGTTATAAAATGATGACTATAGAGGATAGAGAAAGTTAAGAGAAGTATCTTTGACGGATGTCCTAGCAAGGGGTTCGTATCTACAAATATAGTTTACCGGGGAGAGCTTAGAGTTCAAGTGTATAGTGATACCTTGACCGTGCATAGTAAAAGTGATTGTATCAAATTCCTTGTACTAAAGCCAAGATGACACTCTACCCATGTCTTATGCATTCATGTCTTGCCTATGTCTAAGGTCCAAATTCTCTATGCAAACTCATGTCCATGTATTGTCCCTTGAATAGAACCAATAACTTCACACAGTGATCCAAGTCTATACTAAAGATGTCCATAAATTCATCTTTTGTGTTGCCATAGAACTCATGTCTTAGATCGTATCTATGTCAAGTTCCTTGTATATTATGATTCATGCTTATATGTTTCCTTTGAGGGTTGTCAAGGAGCCCCTCATGTTAGTGTAGTACCTATGAACCATAAGAAAGTTCTTGACTAAAGTCATACTCCCTATTCCTTGCATGTAGAGCTAACACCCCGCAAATTCTTAGCTAAGATCTGAACCATTCTACGTGTGTAGCTAGACACGAACTCGGTGAAATTTTTACCTTGCCTAGGTGTAAAGACTAAGTCTAAATAGTGGGAAGTGCCACATATGTGAATTAAGGTCATAGGGAACCTCTAGCACAAAGTTGAATTGAAAACTTCTTTACTAATTGAGTTTCCGTGTAAGTTTTTAGTAGGTCCCACTTCAAACGAGCATTCCTCCTAAGAATATGAAGACTTATGTGGCCCATTACCTACCAAATTATTTTTGAGTCTTCTTTCCAATGCCATGGACCGCTCGTCAATCCGAGTTCAGAGTAAAAGTTAAGTGTGTTTTACTGAAGGATAGTCAAAACAGACAGGAAAGTCAGTTTTGGCCGAGCTTCTAGAAACGTGTGTATACCCTAGTGCGGCCGCTCATCAGGGTGTGTGGTCCGCACAAGGATCTGTACAACGACCGACGGGGAGTATTTTAAGACTGTCTATTATGAAATGTATCAGTATTTTCCTATTCTTTCAAGCTTTGGACTTGTTTTCTCTCTTCTCCTCATCCTCCTACACTAAGGTAAGTTTCTCTCATGATTTTCCCATAATCCTATTTACTTCTATCATTCGAATACAGATTACTACCACAACTTAACCCCATGAGCACAGATGGTGCAGGTCGGTAATGAGAAACTCCCCCAAAATCAGAAGAATACAATATTTTCCGTTATTTACCCATTATTTATGATGTTTGCATAAAATTCTACTTAAGAGAGTACTTTAGTTATTCAACTTCAGTTCATGTTTCAGAAAGTCAGTTGTTTACTGTTTTTACCTATTTTAAATTATTCAACTATTCAATTTATTTCATTGCCTTAGTTTCTTTGGTTTTATTACAAATTAGAAAAAATCTTACCTCATATCTCAGTAGTCAGCTGCTTATCATAATTGGGTTAAAGATCATATTCAGGTTCAGTTCCCCAGTTAGTATATACTTCATTGTTTCAATTCAGCTTTACGTCTTACCAATACATTCAATGTATAGACGCTCTTTGGTGCTACATCGTTTCATGATGTAGCTTCAGATATACAGGTGTGTGATCGGACTCTTCAGTAGGCTTCACCTCTTCAGTTTGTGGTGAGTCCTCCTTGCATCCAGATGACTTGGTTATGCTTTTCTCAGCTCATAGTTAATTAGTTCAGTTCTAGTTCAAATAAAGGTAGCCTGGGGCCTTGTCCCAGTGACTCACTCAGTTCAGTTTTATAGAGGCTTCTTTAGACATTAGTTGTTCAATTGATGACAATGTTTCAGTTGACTTTTCAGTTCTTAGGTATAAAGGTTCAACTTATTTTATTTTCAAAGTTTAGCCAATGTTTATCATCTCACAGCAACTTCCGCATCTATTAGTTTTTAGTTTTTTCCTAGTATGCCAGGCCCAATAGTGGTTCTCAATGCCAGTTACGTCTAGGGTGTAGACTCAAGACATGACACTTGTAATCTTAAATATGCCATAATATTTGTACGACAATACACTATATCACTCCTGCAGGTACTCTGGATAGAACAGAGGTGGATGACACCCTGAAGCAGCAGCAACAGGGCAGCACAACCTCAGAGCCAGTTACCGTAGAGAGAATGGTAGAGCTATTTGAGTCTTTAAAGGATCATCCCCATGAAAATGGAACAACTACTGCTATTTTATATTGTTTGAAGAAAGCAAGAATATTAGCAAAACATTTTTGGATACAAAATCTTATTTATCCACTTGAAATCTCATAACAAGAAAAAGAGTAGTATCCATGAGTTTAGAACTTCCTATTTAGAAACAAAATCTAAACTTTCTTGATCTGGGGCTAAATTGGTTATGTCTAACTTTCATAAAAGTAATAAATAACTAATAATAATAAATACAATGTGATTACAGTTACCTGCTAATCCGGGCATACAAGCACACACCCCAGCCAAAACAATTGTCTTATACCAATTGTCATCATCCGCCACTAGCTTCATGACAATTCTTTATGCAGGATGTTACAACATCCTGCAAACTCATAGCATTCCTAAAACAAGAAAAAACGATCTATTAATTTTTCAAACCACAAATCGATTTACACAACTGGCATTTTAGTTCTATCATTCTGTTTTTACTACTTTTTTACTTGGTTTCAGTTTATTGTTTTCCTATTCTCAAGCAAAAGACTTGGTATAACTGTTTCTGGTTCTTTAAATCAGTACATGGGTTGTACTAAAAACCATATTTACATAATAACCTCTAAAGGCACTGTCCTATCCTTATAATGAGTCTAAAACATCAATGATAGAGACAGTGTCATTAGAGTAGAACAGATTATACCAAAAACACAAAGTTAGATTACAATTCAATTTTACTTCCTGCATATTACTCTCCCTTTTCTCAAATAACAGGATCTAGGGGCTGGCGGTAGTCCGCGCGACCATCCAGATCTAGCTTTAGCACATGACCAAGTTATACTTTGAAACGTATTATAGTTATGTTAAAAATCTTATCCTAAGTTTCGGCTGTATGGTAATCTTTTACTCGAGCATGGAGTTCGTCTTAAATATCAATAGATAGCATTTCTAACAAGGGTTTCAGGCTGCCCCTTTCTTCATCTTAACGGGGACTTACAATACCACATGCTTGCTATCATTGATATTCAAAACTTGCCACCACCTCAAAACCAAGTCAAAACTTGTGATAAGAGATTTAAGAACTATAATAAGAGTTCATTATAACTTAGTTAGATCTAGATATTAAATAAGAACATCATGCAGAAGTTATGAAGCTAGCATAGATATGAAAGTATCTTAGCCGGCCATATAGGCGGCAATCACAAAGGATAATAATATAAATAAGAAAGAAATAATTTAATACCTTGAAGAATTTCTTCAAACCACAGTTTTTATTTCTTCAAACTAGAAAGTTTTTACAATAGAGAGAGAAGAGAGACGAAAACTTAAAACTAAACTTCAGAAGACTTACTTCTCAAATGAGAATGAGTCTTCTTTTATAGACAAAGAAAAGTAAAATGGACCCCAAAAGTGGGTCCTACAATAATGGACCAAAAGTGGGTCCTAATAATAATGCTAAAACGGTAAAATGGACCCCAAAAGTGGGTCCTACAATAATGGACCAAAAGTGGGTCCTAATAATAATGCTTTAAACTATTTTTGATAAGAATGAATCAGATTTTAAATCTTATCATATCTTATCTTTTCCCTTTATCTTTTTAATTATCGTGCTTTCCTGATCTTTAATTGAGGCTAGGAAATCTTCCACTTTGTTTAATTGACTTTCAGTCAAATCAGCATCTTGATTCATTGATTGTGCATCAGTGGTATTACCACTATGTCCACTCTTCATTGATGCGTCTGATTTATCAAAGTCTGAAATACTTTCCATTAAGTTCTTCTTGACTTCTTCTAGGTAGTCATTAATCATTTCTTGTTTATCTCCATCTTGAATGGAAATCCTTCTTGCAATATGTTTAATGGAGCTTCCAGCAGTTAACCCCTTTTTTGGGGAGTCTTGATATGCCTGGATAGTCTTAGTGA